ACAGAGCATAAAGTACAGCACAGTGAGCACAGGAAAGGAAGAGGGCCTGTTTTAGCAGGTCTCTTCTAGGGGTAGAGAGACGTGTTATGTATGATGTAGTAGCTTTTTTGGGGGCTATAACTACACAGTTGTTTTGAGGAGCTGTGGCTTAAAAGGGGTGAACCAGGGCTCTCCAGAGCCCAGGGAGGGAGTTCCAGGGTATGTGTGTGTGTAGGAGGGGGTAACTGGGGTAGAGAGAGACATATTAAAGAGGTCTTCCTCACTTTGCAAGAGGATGCCCTGACACAGAGGAAGACCCCACCCGAGTCAAGAAGCCACCTACCCCTCTCTGAGGACCCCTTCTCTAATCCTCTCCCCAAACTAAAAGACCTTAGAGGAGGCTTAATGCCCATTGCCCAGTTTTCTTTAGTGAAAGTTGGTTTCCTTTCACTTGAGTCCATGCTTACTTATGGTCTAGTCTGATTGCCTGGACCCTAAAGCTATGGACCCAAGTGACTCCCTGATGAGCCCTGTGCCCTGATTCTGGGTAGGGAGGGACATTGCTTCAGCATCCTTTCTCCTACTCATCTCAAGCTGAAAGGCCCAAGAAGTGGAGGACATTCAAAAGGCCGAGGGAGCAGGGGCAGGGGCAGGGGCTGGGACTAGGACACGGATGGGGCAAGGGCAGAGGGAGGGATGTGACACCAGCAGAGAAAGCCTAGGACCGGGATGATGAGATAGTGGGATCAGAGAATCTTAGGATCATAGATTTAGAGCTAGAAGGGACCTGTGAGTTTATCTATTACAAACGAAGAAACTGAGGCACAGAGCAGTTAAGTAACCTGCCCAAAGTCATACAGAAGTGGCAGAGGAAAGGAGAGAGCTAGAGACAGAGGAAGCTCATTTTTCTGGCCTCTGACCTCCATATAGTACTTGATAGGAGAGGCAGTGTTGGAGTCCAGATTTCAGCATGGTCATTTACTAGTTGGATGACCTTGGGCAAGTCATTGCTCTCTTTGGATCTCATTCCCTTCACCTATAAAATCAGAGGATTGGGTGCCATCAGGAGTGGGCTGGTAAATGTTTAACAACTGCTGTGGGGGCTGGGTGTGAGGACACATTTTAAAGTTTAATCTGCATTATTATCATTGTCTACATCACTTTCTTAGTCTAGACAATCAACAAGAAAATAACTCAAGTTCTGATCTGGGCCATTTGCCAATTTAGGAGGTGTAAAAGTTCACAATGAAAATTTAACAATTGGCTCTCCCCAGCTGCAGCTCCAGCATGCACCTGAGCACTACGTGATTTAAGGCCCCTCCCTTCTAGCCCTGACATTCTATGCTCTGAGTTCTAAGGCCCCTCCCTTCTAGCTCTGACATTCTATGCTCTGAGTTCTAAGGCCCCTCCCTTCTAGCTCTGACATTCTATGCTCTGAGTTCTAAGGCCCCTCCCTTCTAGCTCTGACATTCTATGCTCTGTGTTCTAAGGCCCCTCCCTTCTAGCCCTGACCTTCTATGCTCTGAGTTCTAAGGCCCCTCCCTTCTAGCTCTGACCTTCTATGCTCTGTGTTCTAAGATCCCGTCCAGCTCTGCTATTCTATGCTGTGACTTCTAAGGCCCCTCCTTTCTAGCTCTGCTATTCCATGCTCTGTGTTCTAAGGCCTCTTCCTTCTAGCCCTGACATTCTATGCTCTAAGTTCTCAGGCCCCTCCTTTCCAGCTCTGACATTCTATGCTCCGAATTCTAAGGCCCCTCCTTTCTAGCCCTGCCACCTTGTGCTCTGTTTTCCAAGGCCCCTTCCACCCCCACCCTTCTTTGGCTCTAATGCTCACCTGGATCTAACCCTTAGTAACAAGCTGGTTCACTTTGTTCTTAAACATATCCATGCATCCACGGCCTCCCCAGGTAAGGATGATTCTCCCCCTTCTCTCTTCTCTCCTCAGGCCCCCAAGCAAAGGGTGGTCTACCGGAGTCCTTGCTGACTTCCTTGACTCATCCTGCTTGCTGGAATGTGCCAGGCACTGCCCCAGCTGCCAGCTCCCATCCCTACTGTTACACCAGGTGCTGACATTCTGCAGGAACAAATCTATCTGAACCCAGAGCGTTCTGCTTCTTCTAGTGTTGGATGGCTGTTGGGGGGCGGGGGGAAGGGATGCTTGGCTTCATTAGTGAACTTTGAAAGTTTGTTTAGAAGTTGGGGAAGGATAGAGGTGGGTTCAGTTAGGTTTTGGAGGTATAGTACCAGTGCTCTCTGTCACATTCCAACCCCTTCCCCCACCCCCCAAACATGTCACTCAGGGAGCCCTCCTACAATATCTAACTCAGAAGTTTCTCCCCACACCTAACCTAGAATGGGGAGAGAGGAGAGCAGGGATGAAAGGTTAGTGCTAGAGTCAAGGTTGCAGCTCCTCAGAAGGGATTCTGAATCAGGGGCACGGGGTCAGGATGGGGCTCACTAAGCTGTTCTCTATCTAAGGGGCTGAAGGCTGGTGGAGGTGGACGCACGGCTCCTTCCTTCTTCATTCCAAGTGTGGTCCTCAGGAGCTGAGATTCCTGCTAGTTGGTGCTGATTTAGGGGCTAAACAATGGGGTCAAGGTGGAGGGGGTTGTGTGGGAGTTGGGAGTGTGAAGAATGGGCAGCTCTGTTTCCAACTGAGCAACGCCGGGTTTGAGAAGGTATCCTTCCTCCCCAAGGAGGAATCAGGGCAGATGATGAGAAACTGGCCTAGGAGACTAATTCCACTCTCAAGTCAATCATTTGAGTAATTCTCTGGAACAGATTTTCCAGTGCCTGTTTCTGCTCTTGCTGATTCTTTTTAGCCCCATTTGGCAGATGGAAAAATCGAGGCCAGGAATAAGATGAGGCCAGATTGAGGGGAGAGAATAGTTGAAGGCATCACGCAGGCATAGGCACCTGACCATGGTGAAATGTTCCTGCTAAGGGGACATTGTGTCTATGACCTGCCTCCTGGTGAAGCTAGGAATAAGGAAAGAGCTGCACCAACCCCCCCACCCCACTAGGCCTGTGGGCAGCCCCTTCTGCCTCCTCTCTTGTCCTCCGGCTTGGCTGCCCCAGACTTACAGAGCTACTCCCCTCCCCCAGTGTTCTACAAACACATCTCTCATAGCTGCCTGTCGTTAGGACATTGTCCCTAGAGGACCCTCGGTCTAGACCTGGAAAGGACTAAGAGTTCATCTAGTCCAGATCTCTCATTTTACAGATGAGCAAACTGAGGGGCAGTTAGGTAGCACAGTAGACAGAGCACCAGGCCTGGAGTCAGGAAAGACTCAACTCCCTGAGTTCAAATGTGTCCGCAGACACTTACTGACTGTGTGACCCTGGGCAAACCATTTCATCCTGTTTGCCTTAGTTTCCTCATCTGTAAAATGAATTGGAGAAGGAAACGGCAAACCAATCCAGTATTTTTGCCAAGAAAACCCCAAATGTGATCACAAATAGTCACACGTGACTGAAAATGATTGAATAACAACAACAACAAATTGAGGCCTGGGGAAATTAAATGACTTGACCAAAGTCACATGGTTAAGTATCAGAGATGAGATTTGAACCCAGGCCCTCTGACTCCAGAACCAGTGGTCTTTTCATTCTTGGTAGCTCTGAATTTGTAAGCAGAGCTAGAAGGAAGCTTAGAGATTACCCAAAAGGGATCAAGTGAGTTAACTTATGTTAAAACCTAAAAGAAATGTTTGCAATTATTATTATTAATCCAACCCTATCCCCAAATTCCTACATTTTACAGATGAGTAAACTGAGGGCAATGACTAATTAAAGGTCACACAGGTAACCAGTAGCAGAATAGTGACTTAACTCCTTCTGACACCTAACTCTATGCTTAGATCATGGAGTCTAATTGTCGCATTCTACAAAGGAAGAAACTGAAGCCCAGAGATATTTAGATAACAAAGTTAATAAGTAGCAGAAGCAGATTTAGACCCATCTCTTGACTTCAAATCTATTGCTCACCAATCTGGTCCAATAGAATCCAATCTAACAAGCGTTTATTAAGCACCTCCTACCTTTTTAGTGCTGGGTATACAGACACAAAACTTCATACAATATACCATGCTAAGCAGTCTTAGCACATTTGCATGAGTTCATGCCATCCAGCCCCAACCCTGGAGGATCAATGGAGCAGGACAGAGAGATAAGTCACTGAATGGAGTTCATGGGACCCATGGGAAGACCCAGGAAGGAAGCAGTTAGTTTAGGACGGTGACTTGTCAGGGTTCTCAGACTTCTGTTCTCTCCCAAGCCCTTCCCTGTCTTCCTTATAGGAGCCTAGAGAGAGGAGAGGGAGGAGGTACCTTTCCCCTGGTGCTATGGTGAGGTGGGCGGGGGGCACCAGGGCTCCTGGTGCGCATGGCAGCCAGGCAGGCAGCTCCTGATAACAAAGGGGGAGGAGAGGAATGAACATCAGGTATCAGAGACAAGATGGCATCTTGGGCATTTAGGCAGGGTGGCATTTGAGGTGAGGGTACAGCAGTGTTGTGAGGGTAACAAGATAACACTTTAAGGGGTGTTCAGGGGACAGGGAGGCATCCTGGATGGTGCCCTGACCTGTGATGATAATATTGAGGGGCACTCCCGCTGAAGGGATGGGAGGGAGGTAAAGCCCTGTGCCCACTCACCCAGGGGTACCCACTGATGGGGAGGAGAGAGGGAGAGAGAGAAGGGCTGTGGCTGTCTCCCCCCAGATCCCCAGGCATCCAGGGCTCATGGTTCCTGGGCTAAACATCGATACTGAACTGTGCCAGTCATTACAGAAGGAGTTGTTCTGAGCTCTCCGAGAAGGGATGCCAACCTTCTTGCCAGCCACTGCCGTCTATTAGCTTCTCAGACCCTAAACAGAAACCCGGCACTGTTTCTGCTGGTCCTGAATCCCTGGGCCAAGTGGCTCAGCTTGGTCCTCTTGTCCCAGGCTCCGGGTCCCTCCCTGGGTGTGTCTCAGACCTTCCCTCCCACAGGCTGCTGGCCCCAGAGGCCATGTGGTCACTCACCATGCGCCCGTTGGGGACGCCCAGGTGCTTGGCTTTTCCTGGCATCCCTCCTGTCACAGGGCCCCGACGATGAGGGCAGAGACCATGGGTCCCTGGAGGGGTAGCTGGCACAGCCAAAAGGGGGAGCGCGGCAGGCGCGGGGCGGCTCTGTTCCGAATCCCTCACATCCTGAAACAGCACTCACTACCTCTTTTCTTTGCCACAGGAAGTGTATCTATGGAGACGAAAACCACAGAAAGAAGTAGGCTCTGAAGAGAATGCCTCTTCCTACACACACACACACACACACACACACACACACTCTCACACTCTCTCTCTCTCTCTCTCTCTCTCTCTCTCATACTTACTCAGATCAATTCTCCCTCTGTGTTCATGGGCTCACACTCAGGCAAGCCCTACTCCCCCTTCCCACACATATACACATTTAGCAACTTCTCCCAAACCCAAACCTTACCATACTGGAGGGAGAACTCCGTGCCCTTCCCGTACTGTGACCCCTCCCCCCAGCTCCTAAAGGCACACGTCTGTCTTTCTGCACCTCCACAGATGAGCATGCAGACACACAAGTGTGCACATCCCTGACAGGGACAGACACAGGGAGCTTTCCCTGCATACTTCATGGGACTTGGAACTAATCTTAGAGAGTATCCAGGCCAACCCTCTCATTATTCTGATAAAACAGAAACCCACAGAGGTCAAGGGACTTGTTCAAAGTCATTTAGGAAGTGACAGAATCTGGGATTTGAACCAGATCTTCTAACACTCTCTCCACTGTAGTACATGCACATATGGGCATAGGCATGTACAAACACTGCACACAGTGCCACACGGACATACACACTCAAAGAAAAAACTTATGGCACAAGTGGACATTTCACCCCCAGGGGATAAAGGGTCCCAGCCCCGGGAAGCCTGGACCAGGTTCTCGGCTCTTGGCCTCTCTTTTCCATCCCCACTCCACCCCTCAGCAGTTTCCTGGCTTTTGACCTGCACCACAACCAGGAAACAAGATTCTGTTCAGTTCCCCAGGCCTCCTGCCTTTCTATGGTGGTCCAAAGCCTGCCTGGAGTCTGTGTGAGACAGCCAGCATGAGAAAGAGGTTCACAATCATCTCGCCAGTACAGAGACTCTCCCTTTCCTCTGGCCTCTTCTTTGGCCTTGGAAAATACTTTATGGCAAAGCATCCCTCCCCCTCCATTACTGGACAATCCATCCCATTAGGAGAGTGTTGTTGCTAGGCCCTCAGTACTGCTGAGGCTGCCTTACACTTTACCCTCTGGGATGGGGGGATAGGGACTTGTCTTAAAATGTCATTGATATTAGGAATTCCCAGGTAAGGAAACTCTTTATTAATAATGTGAGGCAGTGCCTTCAGCAAACTTATAGTCTTACAGAATTGCCTAGAGCAGAGAGGGGTTAAGTGACTTACCCAGTGTCACACAGTGTATGTGTCAGAGGTGGTTCAAGGCAAGCTCTCTATCCACTATGTTATTCTACCATAGGGCTTTTAACACCAACCACCCTTTCTTTTTCTTTCTTTCTTTCTTTCTTTCTTTCTTTCTTTCTTTCTTTCTTT